CATAAAAAAATTTCTTATTCAATAAGTAAATACAAAGATATTTGGCTTAAAACATTTTTTTTGCATTTTATTTTTTGATTTTCTACAAAATTACAGTATTTTTGTATGGTTCATTTAACCAATTTCCATTTATTGTTTTTACCGTATCTTTTTTATAATCATTTTAAGATGTAATCAATAATTATAATCATTTTTTAATACTTATTTTTACAAATCATCGACTTATTTATCATTTATCAAACCATATTTATTTATACTGTGTATAATTTTTGTACCTTATCTAATAAACTATTGAGTTCAAGATTTAAGATACCTCTGCCTTTATCAGTTATTCAAATTTTATTGCCCAACCCCAAATGCGAATAAAAACCTGTCAAGCACGTTTTTTTTTGCATATTTTATACAAAATTTCGAGCTTTATTTTTTAAATTTAATTACTGAAATTGAATTAATCAACTGAAATAATAACAAAAGTAAAAAATTTCTTAATATATTTTAATTTTTGAAACAAATATCAATTTTTGTTAAAGTTTTAATTTTCAAATCTTGTACAAATTAATTAAATAATTGAGGTAATTGCAAACTAATAATTTTTTAAATGTTAATTTTGTATATGACAAATGACAATTTTTTTTCAGAAGCTCTCATAAGCTTAATATATTTGTTTGCATTATTATCATAAAACACATTTATTTTTATATTTAATTTTATATATTTTTAATGCGAAATTTATATGTGTAAGTTTTACAAAATAAAATTTGAAATGAGTATTACGATTTTCAAAGATAAAAATTTAAGTATAATTATTAGTACTACTCATCTTGATTGTGAATTCTTTCTTTACAGTGTCGTTTTAAATATTTATTTTTACACTTTTCATTATTGAGAATGAACTTAAGTGTTACAAATTATGAATTAAATATTGCATTAATCACTTTTAATTAAATTCAGATATGTCTCAATTTAAGTTTTGTATATAATACAAAAATTAATTTGTGCAGATTATGAACGGAAGTGAAGGAGCAGAATGCGCAATAAAAAATGAAGTTTATGACGATGCTCGATTCGCTCTCGTTTTATACTTCGGAACTCCAATTGCTTGTATTGGAATTGTATTCAATACCATTTTGCTAGTAATTATCTAAATTCAGTACAGATTAATGCTAAAAGATATGAAAATAATGCTAAATAAATAAAATTAATTATTTTAGTTCAAAATTTTACCAAAAGTTTAAGATACAAACAAGTAAATTAAATTATTTTTCAAATTCCAAAAAAAAAAAACTTTGAGGTAGATTTTTAATTATACAAAGTTAAATATCTGAATTTAAAAAAAACCCTAAAAATTTTATCAGTATAATTGGAAAAATTAACAACGATTGCTGTGAATTAATCAACATTAACATAATTAATTAACATTAGCACAATTTATATAATAATTTTTAATTAACGTTTCATTAATTTTCATAATTAATTGTTGCTATGATTTTTTAACAATTTCAAGGCAAAAACTATGCTTTTCCGGTATATTCAATAAAATATGTGATTGATTTTTTATACCAGTGAATTAATTGAAGTAATTCTGGACAGTTATAAATGTCTGGTGGAAATTTAATCATTGATTGTCACATTATAATTATATAATAAGTGCTTATTAGTCTTCTAATTATTATAATTAAAATTTATTACCTAAATTTTCTGATGCAAAATTTGATCTCTAAATTTTTATTCTCAAAAAAAACAAATTCAATACTTTTAGATTTTATTCTGGAATAGACAATCAATAACTTCATCAAATATATACTTACTATTTTTGGCACTATTCGATACACTCATTTGCATATTGTACATACCGTTTTTTACGATGGATGCATTAGCAATATACTGTCAGATTGATTATTTGCATCATTTGTGGCATACCTATGCACTACATTTGTACGGTACTAGTCGATTTGGTTAGTCTTTGCAACGAAAATTTTCACGTGAATCTGACGTAAATAAGCTAGTGGATTTCAGTCTACTCAATGCATTTAAATTAATTCATAAATTTTAGTCGCATAAATTTTGTTAAAATAAGGCATTCAAGAATTTCCTGTTCTATAGAAATTAAAATTATGTACAACAATAATTGCATATAAATTAATCCTTCACTTTGAATCAGAATATTTTTTTCAAAACGAAAACAAAAATATAATTAATGAAATTATATCAATCTGTTAATTCACTTCCCAGTAATTTTAATTTCTAGCTCAGAAATACACTTAAAATTTAATAAAATTTTATTTATCGTAAAATGTAAAATTACAGTTCAGTACAAAAATGCAATTTTATTTGCATACTTAAAAAATAATTAAAAACTTTTGATCTGTAAAGGAAGGCAAAAATCAAAAATGATTTCAGTAAGCTTCCAAATATCACTACTAAATAAAAAATATTATTAAAAGGTTTGATGATGAACTGAAAATATTGAGCTAAAAAAGTTTCAGAGTTCTCATATTATTGATAATAACAATTTTAATACTTATAAAATAATGATAATTTATTAGCAAATCAAAAATAATGATATTTTTACCAAAATGCTTACTATTATAAAAAATTGCATGCATAATTTTTTCATTTGAATAATTCTGCTTATTTTAGCAACAAACATAAAACTGAAATCATAAATTGAAAATCATATTTAAAATTGGAAATGAAAATTTGAAATTCAGTTTTTTGTAACTCTAAATTAGTAAGTATTTTAGTGCAGTTTGGTGCCGTATATATGATGTTATGCGCAACGTTTGAACGCTATGTTTATGTAACTGATAGACGTCATTTTGCTTGGTTCATTACGTTAGTCTTAATACTTAAATATTGAAAAAAGGAAATGAAAACATTACTGAAATTTATAATATTGTATAAATAATTAAGAAAGATAATAAATGAAAATCAAATATAAAAATCTAAAAAGTTAGTAAATTCCCGCACTTTTTAAGTTATTTAAAAAATTGAATTTATCTAATTAAAAATTAATTTGATAATATATCATTCAATTTTTGCCGAAATTCAGAAATTTTCGACCAAATTCTAATATTTTTTCTAAACTTTAAAGTGGTCGAATATTTTTAAAGACTTATTCGTTCAATTATTTATTTATAATTATTTATAAAATCATTCATTTGATAATTAAATAGCTTAATTTGCATAAAATTACTTGGCATTTCACAAAAAATAACATAATTTCCATGTAAATTAATGCATACAATCTGATAGATTTGAAAATGCTTCAATATTTTCTAAACTAAAAGTAAGCAATTATAACTTTTAGTCATTGATTGTGATAATCAGTGATTTCAGTGATAGCGGGCGGATCATGATTGTAATTATTGTACTAATCACTGCTATGATTCTTAGATTTCCAACTTTCTTCGATTATAATATTGCTTACAATGGAAATTGTCCACCATTTCAGGTCACTGAAAAATTACAAATTTTTTGCTAATTTTTGAAGTAGTTAAGATTTTTTCATCTGAATAATCAGTCTTCTTTTTCTTTAATACAATGAGCTTTTAATCTATTTTCCCCCTAAACACGAGTTATTTACTTAAACTATAATCAGTGTCATAAATAAATACAAAAATAAATTAACACTAATTAAGATATCTCATATAATTAGTTTTACTGATTGGAACAGATAAATGATTAATTTATAATTAAATTTGTGAATTTGTTTAAACATGCAAAAATTTTTGATTTGCATAAAGAAGAAATTTTTTATTAAATATTTGATTACTTTTCATGAGTGAAAAGATAAGAATTATATTCATAAATACGAAAATACATTTTAATTATGAATTTTTTTATGAACGATAAAATGTTTAATAATGGAAAAAAATTTTCATAAAATCAAATATTTATATTCTAAAGCGTTTAATTTTATATTTTGAATAATTAAACAACACTGAAAATATTTACTGCTTTACAGGAATACTTGTTTGTACCGGTCTTAACAGCCTATTCAACATATGTTAAGTATAACTTTTATATAATGAGTCTTGTTCAAACAGTACTACCATTTGCATTTCTTACTTGTTTTAATTTAATTATTATATATTTAACTCATAAACGACTTCATTATATTCCTACTAATGAGCAGTTAGATCAATCTAACCGTTCTGATAAAGTTAAAACAGGTAAGTTTCAGAATACTATTTTATCAGGTTATTATTTTAGCAAAATAAAATATTCAGTTCTTTCTTAATTATCAGAAGGTTTTTAAAATAGAATTTAGTAGAGCTAAATTTAGTATGTGAAAATATTTTTACACTTTTAATTGAATTATTCAAAATTTCAGGTAAAAAATAGTGACTTTATGAATTTTTTAAAGGAAAAATATTGGCTTTATGAATTATTTAAATTAATTTGAACTAACTCTAGATTTGGTAGATCGTATAAAACGTCAAGATTTAAAATTTGCTACTCGTAAAATGGTTGCCATTGTTTTTATTTATCTTTTATGTAATGTCTTCTCAGTTCTTATAATAATTATGGAAAATATATTTCCTGATAGTAGGATACTTCATAATGAAGATGGATCCAGGTTAGTTCAAAAATTCACCCACTTTTTAGAAAAAATATTTGATCTCTTTGCTATATAATGAATTATTATACAATGTAAATATATTCAATAATAAAAATAATAATTAATCTAGCCAATAATTAGAAAATTTTGAATATTGAAAATAAATATAATTATCAATTATTTAAGCAAATTTGCTTTGATATGATTAAAATAATGACCCTATGATTCAATAAACTGAATTCATTAAATTATAATCATCTCAAAGATTTTAATTATGCTTCCACTACCATTATTATCTTCTTGACTTCAAACTACACGTTAGAATTTTTTAATTACTTTAAAAATTTGCATAAACAATAATATAAATTTATGACGCTTGTCAATTTTCTTAAATCGAATTTCTGTAGTCAAAAAAATTAAATTCAGTCTTACCGGAGTTTTATTTTCGGTTATCAACAAAAAATTATCAGTAAATTACTATTTTCAGTACAAAATTCTATACTATAACAGCTGATTTGATCAGTATTTTGGTAGTATTGAACAGTTTATTGCGATTAATTGTTTATATTGTTTGCGATCCACAATTACGACAGCGATTCATAAATTTATTCATAAAATTCAGGTTTGAAAATTAAGTAATCAAATATGATTTTTTATAATAGCATTGTAATCTGATTATTACTTTTTATGACAATAGTTCGTTTATTATTTAATATTATGCATAATTTTGTGATCAATTTGTAATCCGAAATTATACTTCACTCATTTCTGATTATATTATTTAATAAAATATTTTATCAATCTGATTGCTTAGCATATTAACAGTATATATGGGCATTAGAAAATGCAAGCTATGCAAAAAGTATATTAATAAAAATTATTTCAATTTTTTGATTAAAACTTTCATTTCCTAAAAACTAATGTGTATAACAAAAAGGTTCTGGTACAATTATCCATTATCTATTTAAATTTTAAAAATTAAATTAAGTTATTAATTTCAAATACGGAATTCTCGACTTTATAAAATATTAATTGAAGTAATATTTTGAAAATAGCGACAAAAGCAATAAAATTTCTAGCAATCAGAAAATTTTTGAGCTTTATCGACAATATTTTTGGCACTCAAATATAAAATAGATCAAAAAAGTTGATATGAATTTCAGATCAGAAATGCTAATCTAAAAGAACTGAAATAGAAACATGAAGGATGTTCTAGAACTTGAAACGAATGGAGGACAAAGAGAGATCAAGCAAGTCTGATCAACGATAGTGATCACTGATGATAGATCAGCTCAATCGACTCGATTTTATTCATTTCATGAATAAAATGGTTTCACGCGAAATATGAAGGGATATTTCATGAAATAAGCTTTCAGATTATGTATATATATATATGCACGTATATAATTTGAAGCCATATTTCAGAAAGCTATTTCAATATGCAAATTTGTTAACTATCGATTATCTCGACAAATGGCAAAAGCCAAAATTGATGACATTTGATTATGTATTCAGAAAAATTCATAAATATTATTCTAAAAATGGCGCGATTTGCAGAAATAATTCAAATTTAAGTCAAAGTTCCATTGAGTCAAAGTTGCTTCATTATTAATATTCGAAAATGATTTATTGGTTGTTTTAATGAGAAACTTTTTCTAATGAGAAATTTGATTCTTATAGAATTGAATAACTAATTTGTTTGACCAATGAATTTAATTTTTGATGTGGAATGGATTGAACTGATTTTACATAGAAACAGTAATTATAAGCTTTGTTTCACGTTATACTTAAGTCAGGCAAATAACGCCATATAAATTAATGACAACCAGTCAATTTCATGCAGATTAATATTAAATAAATAACTTCTCGTAAAATCATTTACTTCAAATATTTTTCACGTGAAATTATTTCACCAATTTATTAGCTGAGAAGTCAGTAATATTATGTAAGCAGACACGACAAGTAATTTTATCGCATGAATAAATAATGCATGAATGGTTTCACGTCAAATGTAGAGAAATAATTCATGTAACGTAAGTAAGTTTCTTGCAGTTAGAAATAACAAGCAACTTATATGACGTAAATAGATGATAGGCAACTGATTAGACACTAATTTTGTTCAGAGTATTATCATAATTCTTGCATTATGCAAATTTTGCTGCTGAAATCTCTAAAGACCATTTCCGCTTCACTTTCAAGCAAAATTGTAAAAAGTACTCGTATTTTTGTCAACAAAATTCAGGTCATATATTTTCATATTGCTAAATCCGTACATGAATTGAAGTAAAATGACGCTGATACCACCAATAATCCCTCCTAATGTCACGAGAGAGCACTGCCCAAGACAGGAATCGAACCTGTGTCACCACGGCCACAACGTGGAGTACTAACCACTATACTACTTGGGCCGTCGAAATGACGCAGAAATACTTTTTATAAATTAATTTAATTATTTTATCGATTCATTTTTTGTTGTAAAATTTCGTGAAATTAATGAATTAGCGTAACAAAATTGTAATCATCATTTTTTTAAAAATTATTACACGCATTTTCAATTTACAAAATAAACTTGGGAGTAAAAATAGTCAATAAAAGAAGAAATTAAAATTATTAACTTATATATTAATTATAATTTTTGGTTTTATTTAGTATGAACAAAATATTTATGGAATGGAACGTAAATAATCTATGTGAATATTAAAGAATAAAAGCTAGTGTGATGTTACTTTAGTCTAAAAAGATTGACTTAAATTTGACTTTATTGTTTTGACCAAATTTAGATGTAATCAATGCAATATATTTCTACAATTTCTGTCAAAAATGTAAAAAATATAGAAATAAGTTACTAATAGCAAAGAGGAGTTTCAATCCTCTACTATAATCTGGGGTCAACAGATGGAATAACTTTTTAAAAAGTAATAATATCAGCTATAGGTCAAAGGATAATGATGCATTGTAACATACTGTTGAGTAAACTAAACGTCAAGATGTTTGTTCCAAGAGTCAGGAAGCAATAATAGTCCAAACAATTTACAGATCGGAGGTCACTTTAGGGGCTTATCTGTTGTATGGTCAAATGGGTTATGTCGAGTGGTCATCTCATATGGAATCAAGAGTATCTAATTTACAAAGTTACGATGCATCGTTTGTCCTTTTACCTATAACTGATATTATCAGTTTTGTAAAAGTTATTCCACATATTGTAAC